TCAAAATCATTCAACTTGTGAGGATGGCCTTCTAATTTAGCCTCATGTTTCTGAATATTAGCTACTGATTTTTCTGCTACTTGAGAATATGTTTCAGCTGTGTGTGTTGGATTGTATTGCAAGGAAAAGACTGATCCCCAGTTCCCTTCGAGACTGTCATTTGCACTACTTGAAGCACCCGAAGTTTTTTTTAGAACTTCAGAATCTGAAGTTGGAGCTCCTGGCTCTTTTGAAATTGAGATGGGTGAATAATTGTTCAATGCTACAATGTCACCATCATGAATCAGTTCCGAACCTGAATCTATGCCAACTGACTATAATGTGCTAACATTGCTACTTATATATCTTATCTCAACAGTAGCAGAAATTTCAATTGAACATTCCTGGCTTAGAGGTACAGATTCTTGCTCCTTTGAAGCAGGTTTTTCATGATTTTTAGCAAATCGTTTACAAACCACACTGGAAAACATGTCCCAATCAGCATTGGGATGGTTGAAGATAAAGCTATAAAACCATACATAAGCCTTCCCTTCCCAATACATCTTTGCAATTCGTAACCTAAGTTCGTCATGAACTTGGTGTATCTGGAAGTATTCCCTAGCCTTCCCAAGCCATTCACTGGGTTGTTCTCCCCTAAATTGTGGAAAATCAATTTTAGGGACTATACTATTTCCCTAGAATTCCCCTCTAGTACGAACAGTATTCTCGTTACTACTAGTCCTTTGTGAAGTTATCACACTCCCAAATCTGAAATTAACGTTAGGCTCCTCTATTCCTTTAATTTTCCGTTCCATTTTAAGATTTGAAGACATTTGGGCCAACATGGCCACCAAATTTTCATGTTTCTGATTCATATCCAATAAAACATCCTCCATTTTCTTTTGCCTATTCCTAAATAACTGGAGGGTTTGATGTGTTGATTCCAGTTTGGCCTCCAATCCGCTGGCAACAGATTTGAAAGTTGTACCCAAATCAGCTATTTCCAGGTCCAACTTCTTCAAGTGCTCATCCACGACCTTGGCCTTTGTATCCATAGTTAGCAATTGCCCAGTATAATACGCCTGCTCTGATACAATTTGTAATGGTTGGAGCTCAACTTCAACTAAAACCAGTTAAATTCAACTCAAATCAACACAACAATTTAAGACAATAAACTAGAATTCAATAACCCAGCTACAATTTCATTGATTGAATTGACATTACAACAAAACAGCGAAATATAAACAAAAAAGAGACAATGAAATGCAGAGAATAGACCAGTGGGGGGAGAACGGAGAAGCAGCAGAAGAAGAGGAGAAGAAGAAACAGGGAAGAGAGTTGAAGAGAAGAATACCGGTGGGAGAAACGAGCAGTAGGGAGGAGAAGAACGAGAATTCTAGACCGAAGGACAGAGAGATGGAGATAGAGAGATTAAGATAGCAGAGAGGAGATGAGAAGAAGAAGAAACCCAGAAGAAGAGGGCAGAGAAGAAGAAGGAGAAGACAGGGAGAAAAGGGGGAAGAACACAGGCTGCAAACCAATTCATCAATTCATGATTTCCATTCTTCCAGCTTCACCCCTATATGAAACAAAACTGGGCTTTGGGCTAGCCCACCTATTACAAGCCCACTAGATAATAAATGTAAATGGCCCAATCCATGACACTTTAGTTATGTCACTCGTGACTAATGTTAGTACTTGTCACGGTAAAAACTCACATGTTTGAAGTAATAAATAATTTTCATTGCGTTGTACCGGTAGAATTGGGATTACTCCTTTCGGTGTTCCTTTCAACTAACACTTCTAGAGTAAGATTGTCAACTGAATTGCAAGACGATATTTCCCAGTGTTGATATTTTAATTTGTCGCGAGGGGGATAGATCATAGAAGCTCAACCCAATTCAACTGTGTAATTAGGGAAAAGTAGAAGTTGTGTGATTTGTGTTGTACTGTTGTTTTGTTGACCAGACTCTTCCAAAGCTTACGAATATTTGCTCCCATTGTGCACTTGATGGTAAACATCATATCCAGATACTTTCACGTGTTGCACCCTAGAGCTTATATGCATGATGAAAACCAAAAAATTGCAATATAATACAAGTAATAAGAAACATGTTGAACCAATACAGCTAGATGTCATTAATCATTCATAATTCTAAAAACTGAATAGATTTACACCACATTTAAGAAAAGCTATACCTCACTAGTGAATTAGCCTACTCGTGCTTTTACAAGAGAAATCCGAGCTATGTTGCTCGGACTCTCCAAAAATAGAGAAGTATCTGTGTCGACACGACACAACACGACACGATACAGATACTGACACGGAATATAGGTCGTGCACTCGGACATGGCAGCAGAGAAGACGGCGTGGAGAAGACAGTGGAAGGCAGCAGCAAACCCATTTATTTCGAGTCTTGTGATAGTATTTTGTAGAAATTTATGGAGGGTTACGGAATAAAGGAGAAGAAAACGGCCAACAGGAGCTTGGTGACAGATATTCTGCAGAAAGAAGACGAAGAAGATGGATAAGACGGAAGGTTCTATTTAGGTGTTAAATGGGTTTTTGTCGAGCCCAATGAATAAGTTAGGTTTAGTGGGTGTTAAATGAGATTTTTAATAAGTTAATTATTAAGGGGATTAAGTTGTTTCAAAAATCAACAATTTATACTACAAAATTTGGGAATTGTCTCTACCAAATTTTATAATTTATTGTAAGTGATGTGAGATTGTTTTATTTAAGATTAGATTAATTTAATATTTAATTCTAAATTTGTTTGATTCAATAGTTCAAGTTAAGCTTATCCATTTTGAGTGATTTAAATATGTTAGAAAGTTTAAAAGGCATTCACGATAAATATATTACGAACGAAGTATAAATGTTGAAAGCTGTCTTTATATGAATTTTTGAATATCTCAATCTAAATTGTTTAATACGTGAAATGTACACATGTAGACTATATTTATTTTATACATATATGGGGAAAAAAAAGACATGTTTACATATATTTTAATATATGGAAATTCGTTTTATATAAGATGGGATTTGTCTTTACATAAAATAAATATATTAGTTTTTATATTTGTCTCCATAGACATATATACATTATTTAAAAGTGACATGACATATCATTATCAAATAGACATCCTTAATTGTTCATATTTTTCTCCATAACAGATAAAAATATTGATTTATAAATCTACAAAAAAAATGTAAGACGTGTCCCCGTACAAATATCCAAAATTCGGATCATTTTTAACCGTATTCTCATATCTTCATTTTTAAAATGAGAAGGATCCGATTCCTGGATATGTATCCATATCCGACACCCGCACCCGAGTCTGAGCAACATGGAATTTGAATGTGTACATTTAAGCCCAGAAGTAATACGTTATTCAAACGTTCTTGCAAACCGTTAATTCTTGGAATTTTTTATGTTGTAAGCAATGTATCTTTCGATTCCTCCTTTCAATTCTTCTTAGGTGGAATTTAGTATCAGGATTTCAATCATTGTTCTTTGCTTCCTGCAGGTTTACTCTTGCAATGGAAGAAGAACGGGGGATCGGTTCTGGTTTCTTTGACGTTAATGGAAAACGACACATGAAATAATGTCAAAGGGTGGAAACATTGTATGATTGATGAAATACTTTTGAAGATATTCTGTTGTGCATGTTGGTCACTGTTATATCTTCCGTCCTTTTTTGCTTGCATGTTGTGTTCTCCAAATGAGTTGAGTTTGGTATTGTTCATATTGAACAATTCATGTCCAAATTTCCCATCTTTTATAGTATTCTTCATATTATACGCGTAATTCTCCAGGCATTCTTTGCCTCCACCATCTTCTTTATGGACTTGTCTTCAGCCCTGTACTTCTCATTAGCATCAATGTGAAAAAACACCCCTTGGTGCAGGAGGAACAATTCATATTTCCGTGGGGTTGTGTTCTCATAAATTGAAGTGTAAATCATTTTTCGAACTACGGTGCAACACTTCTTTAATTTTTTTTCCTTGTTATCTTGACTAAGTCTCTCTATAAAAATTCGTGATACTTGTAAATGCACTAGATTTTTCCACACGGAATGAATTAATGAATGTCGAAAATAAATTTATTAAATCTTAATTTATTGAGTATATAGCATAATTTGTTGATTGTACATTTGCCTTTTGAATTTCTAACAATTGTTCATATTTTCAAGAATGCAACTTAATAGGTGGCTATGGTTCGACCCGATCGAATCTTAATTTATTGACCCCATCAAGCCAATAACAAAATGATCACCTTCAAAGCAATATTTCTAGGTTGCTTTTCTATATTCTAACCAAAGCTTGTCCTTAGTCCATGGGAGTGTGTGGGTACATGGCACGAATTGCTCGAAAGGTGTAAATCTTGATCAGACTGCTCGATGCATTGAGCGATAGCAAGTTTTGGTGGTTCTGCTTGTGAGCCTAGCACGTGCTAATGACTCCCCTGTCCAAACGCGTAGGTCCAACTGATGACCACGTCTTCTAATCATGTCATATGGATTGTACCAGTCGAGCCCTAAAAGTTGACGTGCGAATGGAATATACTTCCTTGGACCATCATCTTGCATGTCCACTTAGAGTCAGCATCTTTATAATACTAGGTTCGACCCGATCGAATCGTTCGTCCTGGTCCTTTTCTAGGTCAATGCCGAGTTTGATTATAACACGGGCAAACATACATAAACTATCACCCAGCACTCCAAATGAATAAACCACAAACCATTATTACCACCAAAGAAACAAATATGGGAAAGAATATAATGAAATAGCAAATATTCAACATCCATTTCTACCTGGTTCCTATTGTTACTTCATATTAATCTAGCAAATATGAACGTCCTATCATTCTCCGACTAGTATTACCTAATCTCGACTCAGTTTCATTTATGTACATGAATCAACTACGAGTTGCCACAATGGCAGACGACCTTATCCTCGTTGGGAAAAAGAACGGGGAGAACACGTTCAAAGCAAAGAACTCGAATCAATTCCCTATCTACTCTTGGAGATCCCAGAGGTCCTCGACTTCCATCACCGGCTGTTTACCTCCGTTTCTCATTTCTACAATCTTCTTATGGGAGTTTGAGTGCAGAGATGGGAGTTTACAACCTGAACGACGACCAGCATACTCGGGAAATAGACGTCCTGAACGGTACCGTACACCACATGCATTGCATAGAGTCCTTGGCCCCATTGGTCCCTCCCTCCATTGTGGTGTCTCTGTCACTTCACAATGTGTGCATTTTTTATTTATGGATTCCACTGCGACTGGCATCTGTGACGATTTCTTCCTCTTAGCCTCTTTGTTTTTCCTAGAACCTGGACTCCGCTTAGAGGCAGAAACGGCAGTAGATATGGAAGGCGTAAGAATCCATGAGCATGTAGTCCTGGATTTACGTCGCCTGGATCTGGTTCGCCTTCGAATGACGATGTCAGATTTGAAAATTAAGCCCTTTTCAACTGAGTATGAGCCATTGCTTTCAAGCGCAGAACTCGGGCTCTGCGTCTGGAAAGTGCCCGACTCTTTTGTATCGTCTGATTTATTTAGATTGAGAATACTTAAATTAGAGGTGTCTTCAATACATGTCAACGCTTTTTGCTCATGAGTTCCATTAATCTCTAAAGTCTGATGAACAAAATAAAAGAATGGTCAGAGCAGAAATTACACCACAATTAGCATGCATCACAACAGATTAAACACAATTGGTGACACCATGATTTCCATACTCTAGACATTGAAGTACTACACGACAAAGAAATTATTTAGGCATGGGTGCCAGTAAAGAGATAAATTTATGCATCCGTATCGCCAACTGAATAATTATGCGGGCGCTCAAGCACAGAAAAAAACCCTCTCAACAACAAAAAAACTAAACCTTATTTCCAACGAATTTGGGATTGACTACATTAATTTTTCTCCACTCCATTCTCAATGTTACATCAATTGGAAAATCAAGTGCACTACATTCTCACCAATCACGACAACCAGAATAAAACTTTGCTGCATCTTACGACATATATCAATATGAACAAAAGCCACTTTTTTTAAAAAAAGAAAAATACAGATTAGCATAACTTGCTCCTCAATGGTTACTAGTTCGAGTCTCCTCAGGGTCATTGAGGTGAGTACCCGGTCGTAAACTTCAGAGTCTTGTGAAATTAGTCGAGGTGCGCACAAGCTGACTCGAACACCTACGGTTATAAAAAAAAAAATTCCTAAATTCGTATACATACTCTAACAATGGTATTTTTTATCCGTTCAAACTTCCTCGAGGCAATAGCACACCTAACTCTTCACTTGTTATCTTCTCTAATCTCCATTGCTTTTCTTTCTAGTTTTCAGTGTTGCATTGTATTCCTAAAGGCTAAAATAATGTCTATGAAAAAAAAACAAACACAAAGAGTGGTGACCCATAAAAGAAGCGTTCAAGACTGAGGAGCGGAGACTGAGCTGCCCCAAGTTTGAACACAATGACAAATACATTGGACTGGGTAGAAATTTTATTGAAAATAATAAATAGAAATTTCACAATCAGATAATGTGCTAAGAGCATCTCCAAGAGACTCTCTATTTTTAAAGAGCATATTCTATCATTTGGAGAGCATCTATAAATTTAAAGAGTTAAAATTTTGATGTACTCCAACAAACTCTTTATATTTAACACTTAAATTTACTATTCCCAAAAAATATTTATTA